TGATCCATTCCCCAAGTGGCCACGATGGTCGGAGCTGTGCCAATCCGAAGCCAGGAGCCCAGAGCCTAGAGCCTTCTCTGGGTCTCTTACATGGTTGCAGGGTCCCAAGGCTTTGCGCCATCCTCAACTGCTTTCCCAGGCCAAAAGTAGGGAGCCAGCTGCTGTGCCAGGTTCCCACAACTTTTAAATAATTTCCAAAGTATGCATAGCTCTTACTGTCGGTTCTGCTTGCCAAGCTGTGCCTACCTTTCCACTCAGGTGTCATTTAAAACATACTTATCCAGTTACAGTTATCCTCAGCTTGAACTTAGGGAGCGTTCCCTCTGCCTCTCTCCCTTGGTTGGTTTTCACAGCAGTTTGGAGTTATTCTAAACACCAAGTATGCTACCTGCTACAAGTACCAAAATGCTGTGTACATGACTAAATGGTATTTCTATCCTCTTGAACAAACTGTCCCTAACGGGAATGAGAGCATCAGGTCCCGCTTCAGCCTCCAGCAGCAACAGGCAAACACTGTAGCAATTACCTTTCTCAGCGATTTGCTCCTTTGCTATGTTGGAAATGGATTTTACCATATTAAATTCCACTTTCTAAAACATAGTGTCATGATGTTACAACATAGCTTAGTTCTGTGAAAAAGACATTTACTTCGGAATCATTAGGCATGACTTAAGAGTCTCTTATAAAGCAATGTAAATTGCACTTTAGTGTTCCTTAAATTCAGCATTTCTATGTACTTGATACTGTATCCAGCAAATAGTGCATGCTTAACATTTTTAAGAAAGTCTGCAAGGCAATGATAACGTTATTATGTTATTTATATCACACTGGGAAGAAGTACTTAGTTCTGCAGAAAACCAATATATGTATAGGATTTTATGTGGATCTGGTGCCAGCTAGTGGTACCTGTTATAAATACTTCAAAAGCATAATTGACATTTTAAAAATATATTCAAAGACAAGGTTTCTTTTGGGGAAGGATAAACAAATGCTCAAAAATATTTATCTGCCTTAACAACAGAATAAATAAAAAGGATTCTGGAATGTTCTGTTGTTACATAATGCTCACTATCAACTTCTACCTACTCATTTTCCCCCTAATGCAATTAATATTCCATCTGTGTGTTGTAGTGGAAAGCTGTAGAGGTCCGGAGTTTCTTTTTCCCCCCCCTCTATATCACTTCTCACAAGACCTGTCAATTGGATTCAGAAAGAAATTTCTCTTGAAGAAATAGGAGATTTCCTTTTAAATGTGCTGCCATACTCCATTATCCATAGTGCTCAACTTCTGAAAGCACTTCATCAGGGGTTATTGACCTTAACTTACTCAAAAGTGCCCTCCATCATTTTGGGCATACGATTGTTTTCAGTCTTCAAGAATTGCCAAGTAAACATGGATGTTACAGCCTTATATAACCATTGGCTATCCCAAGAGACTCTTTAAATACAATGAGAAGCTGCCAGTTGAAACAAACATCCAGGATCTGGCTTACTATTTTAACAATTTATCCATTAGCAACAAATTTGTTCTTATTTGAAAATTAGTTTGTAAATATATATATGTTTTGTAAATAAATAAATAAACATCCATATAGATACATATAGATAGATATAGATTTCATTATTTCACAATAAAGATTTAGGAGCAGAGCAATGCTTCCCACGCTGCTCTCCCTCCTACCCACATTGCCCACCCACCCTCCTTTCTTCCTTCCTTTTTAAAATTTTTACAATGGCATACTGTCAGTTACTTCACACTTGCAGGTCTAACACTCCATTAGGTAAAGAATTCAACAAATAGCATATAACAAATAGACAAAAAAACCATTGTTCCTCGAGAGTAGAGATAAAGCCTATAAATACTAACTAAAACTTAAAATGTCAATCTTGCTCATACAGAATACATATTTTGTACACTGTGCATTAGTTACCACAGTTCAGGAAAAACCTACAATAGTTGTATTTTTTGAGACTGATTCATTTCATTAAGCACAATTATTTTCAAATGCACCCGTTGTGTTGCAAAAAATAGTTCTTTTTACTTTTTTTTTTTTAATTTTTGATGGTGTTTGCATAGTTGATTGGGGGGAAGAATTAAGCAATAGGGAAAAGTGGGTGTGATAATTGTTTATAAATTTTCTATTTCTCCTTCTTGTAACTGGGGAAGATAAAGGGAGAAGCCATACCCAGCCTCCCAACTGTCCCATTACCTGGGCATGGGGGTGGCCTCCTGATAACAACCCAGGATTCCCAATGTGGCTCATTCTCCAAGAATTCTGCTCAAGTGGTTTCACTGGTTTTGAAATGTTGCTGGTCTCGCTAATTCAAGGACATAGTCAACCTTAGAGTCTCCATTCACCCAGATATTTGTTGTCATCATTTGGCAGGAGTAGTTGTCCAATTTGTTTTCTCATCCTTCCTCTGCTATGGTACCAGATGTCCTCTGCAGGCCCCAATGGGCTGCCATATCCTCCATATGCATTTGGGCCAGCTGTCCACTGCTTATCTTTTCCCCTGTGGATGCCCAGCTTTGACACAGGAACTCCATGGTCAGACCATCAATCCTAGATGTGAGACCCCACATCCTTGCATGCCCCCACCTGTGTCATCACAGACTCATGTAAGCCCATGCACCAGGTCCACACAACCATGTACCTGGGTGACCAGTGAACTTCCCCCAGTGTCATTGGTGCCATGTGCCACCCAACCAGAGACCCACAGTACCCTCCTCACCCCTAGGGCTCATGGACCCTGCACCCACTGTGCAAGTGTGTCCAGGGACCTGGGCCAGATAACCCAGGTACCACTGGATCCCCCTCCTCCAGGGCTCATAGACCCAGCTTCACCACACAGGTGAGCCAAGGACTTGGCCTAGGAAACTGAGTCCCACAGAACCTCACACCCCAGAGTTCACAGACCTAGCAGCCAATTCGCAGGTGGACCCAGGGATCCAGGCAAGGGCGAGCCACGCCCCACAGGATTCCCCTGCCCCCAGCGGCCATGGACCCAGCATCCACCATGACAGCAGGCCCAAGGACCTGGGCTATGTGACTTGGGCCCCACCAGATTCCCCACACCCAGGGCTCATGGAACAGGCACCCACCACACCCAAACTGGCGTGGCTCCCTCACCTCTACATCCAAGAGCACATGCTGCAACCTGGCTCGGTCCAGCCTGCCCCCTCCCATTCCACCTCCTACTTGTGGGTCCTTGAGCCTAGCCCAGCCCAGCCAGCTCCAGCCTCAGCCCTGATGTGAACTGGTTGGTGTGGTGACCCAACTCGGCCTGTCCCCATCTTAAAGTCCCTGTGCACCCCATCTTAAAGTCTTCTGTCCTGACTTCAGGCCTCTGCCTGCCTGTTGATCTGCTAACAATCACCGTAAACTTCACTGTTAGGCATACCACACAATCTGAATGCCTTACCCACCACTTAAAAGCCTCGGGAAGCCATGTGTTAGGTTAATTTTTCTTTGTAGCAGCCACCTGATGATAAAGATCCATGTTAGATAAGACCACATGTGAGATTTTTCTGTGAGAGTTTGGGACGGTGTTTGTCTCTTAGAAGGAAAAAGTGAGGTACCTCTCAGCTCTGAGTCTTAACCTTAGTTTTTCTTTTTTATTAGGTCATGAACAGACATGATTTCCTCTCCCTAGATATTGCATTTTAGTCATTGCTACACTTTAACATGAGGAAGAAAGTCTCCACAACCTGTCTTGCTGTGCTTGCCTCCTGGTATAGCAATAGGAGCATGATGAATTTTAGTGTTTTCCTTTGTCCAGAGATGGAAGCTGCAAAGACATACAATAGGAAATGAATACAAAATGCTCTAATGGTTTAAAACTATCATCTTTGTTACAGTTATATCAGTGGTTATGAAATATGGCTGCACAATGAAATCATCAGGGGGTCATTTTTAAAATCTAGTGCTCAGACAAACCACCGGAAAATTAAATCAGAATGTTGAATACTAAACATTCTGCTGTTGGAAGAGTCTAAGTGAATTTCTCAGTGTCAATAGATAAGTAACACCCAGCTGGCAGCTCTTGTTTTCTCCTTTACTGCCAAGCTGATCACCACATTTTACCAATTATATCTTCTTTCAGATGAATATGAAAAACCAAATATATAACTTATTTAATGTTTTCAGTGTGATGTACATGTGTGTGCAGCATATAGGTCTTTTACATGAAGATTTTATGGACCAAAACAAAAAAAAAAAAAAAACAGGGATGGAGAATGCTTTCCTTTTCGCTTTATGATTCATTAGTTTTGTCTTTAAAGAAGCCTTTAAAGAAAAATACACTGATCCTCATCATGCAAAGAGCTAATCACCATTGATCACCAGTGGTTGTGGAAAGCACAACGTTCCTTTCATTACATCAGCAGGACCTGATGTAACAAAAAGTGAGGAGTTTAGAAGATACGCATTATATTATTGTCTGTTTCTGTTTCTCATTTTAACCCTGAACTCCACTGCAATTCTATCTATGGAAAACAAGCGTTCCCTGTCATTGCATATCATAATTACTGCAAAGGAAATTCCCTCTGGGAATTGAGCTGGTGTGACTGAATGCTATTTTAGTTTTCCTACTTGGGGAAATCAAGCAACCATCTAATAATAGTGTCACATTGTATAAATAAAGTACATTCGGTAGGAGGTTGTGTGCAGACATCAACAGGGATTTTACCCTGGCTGGATGCCCTTGATGTCCTTGGATGAGCAACTAAAAATAGCAAAATCCATTTCCACATGCAAAAGCCAAGTATTTCGTTTTCCTAAGTACTATTTGAAAATGGTATCTGAAGACTTTTAAATGTGAGAGATGAAAAGCTGTGCTAATATAATGACTTAGTTGTTCTGGTACAAGGCATTGCCTGGCTGTGACTGGCTTTTGGTGGAGTTTGCTCAGGTTCTGGAGGGTGAGTCATTAAAGAATGCATTAGTTGGTCAGAACCTTCACACCTAAAGATTCCTTTGTGTCTCTGTTTCCATTTCCAGCCTGGCTGTGTAAATACTACTGAAGTAGACATTAAGAAGTCATCCAGGATGCGAAACCCACACAAAACACGGAAGGTAAAATTAGCATTTGTTGTGCTAATCATGGTGGATGAGTTACCCTGTTTGTAGGATTTCAGGAACCAGAACAATCTTCTCCTATGTTGTGGAGTGTATGCCCTGCCCCTCCTGGGGTTTTGTCACTCCTTCTCCACTCAGGAAATACTCCTGACCCAATTCTCAAGCATGTTAGCATTCCAAGTCAGAGGAGTAGTGCTGGCAGGAGAACTTGCAGTGAGAACTCTCTGTTCTCCACCACAGGGAAGTGCAACACCTGCAGATCCCATAAATGGTGAATGGAGATGGAGGACCCTGAGAAATGGATACACTGATGCAAAAAGAACAATTTTTTTTAGAACAAAGCCTAAGGAAAATATAGTAGGAGAGTCCTGTCCTACTTTTAACTTAGGAATTCTGTGACATAACCATATGAGAGGGACAGTATTTCAGTGTCTGTTTTGTGAAAGAATTCTTAATTAAAACAAAACAAACTCAGGGAAGGTGTTGTGGTATGACCAGTAAAGCTGCCACCAGCAATGCTAGTATCCCACATGGGTGCTGGTCCATGTCCTTGCTGCTCTGCTTCTGATCCAGCTCCCTGCTGAAGGCCTGGGGAAAGCAGCAGAACAGGAAATCTGCATGAAGCTCCTGCCACTCTTGTAGGACATTCTGGAATATTTACTGCGTTCTGGCTTTGGTCTAGCTCAGCTCTGGCTGTTGCAGCCATCTGGGGAGTTGCTCAGTAGAAGGCAGACTTTCTCTCTTTCTCTCTGCTCTATAATGCTGACTTTCAAAATAAATGAATCTCAGAAAATTAACTTTTGAATTCAGTGACCTTTTGAAATATCCCCTTGGAAATGCATAGCACCAGAATCTAAATATTTTAACTATTTATTTACTTGAAAAGCAGAGAAGCAGAGAGAAATGGAAAAACAGAGATCTTCCATCTGCTAGTTCATTCTCCAAGTAGCTGCAAGAACCAGGACTGGGCAAGGCTAAATCCAGGAGTCAGTAAATCTCTCATAGGCTCAACTAGTTGTAAAAGCTTCTGTTGAATTTCAGGAAGGTGAAATGGAGGCAGCATGCCTGTGACTCCAGCTGGTGTTACAGTATGGGATGTCTCCATAGCTAGCATCAACTTAATCCAATGGGCCGAAAGGCCAGTGCCTCCAGGTACTTTTCAAGTAGCACATGCACATGGGAGGCATGCTTATTCCATGGAAAATAGTCCATGCCTATCAACATGTATGCTTTGCAGCAGTCACTGAGGACACAGTAAGGTCGTCATTCCTGTGGATTTTTTTCCTTATATAACCATACAGTATTCCAGAGTATGTCCCTAAGGTGGGCTGAATTGCACATTTTTAATGGCCTTATTTGGAGCTCTCTGTGTTCTATCAGTAGAAACTTGGCATCGTCTTCAAAGGGCTCAGTATAGTCCAAACTCCTTTATTATTATTATTTCTTTGTTTGATTGAAGCCAGTTTTTCTGATGCCAGGATGAAGAAGCCGTAGGGAAGTGCCCCCAAATGCACTCTGATGCAGTGCTCAAAGGCTTTCACCCCTGAGAACTCTGAGAGAAACAAGCAAAGGCAGACCAAAGCAAGCCGAGCACTTGTCTCTTCTGGGGACGACTCCGCTCTGTTCCTTTCACCCTGTGCTCACAGCACACCCTGTATACCCTGAGATCTAGCTCAGCCAAACAGACTCCAAAATAGCTGCTGGATGAGGTCACCTTTTCATTATTTTCTCAATTGTTAGGAGTTATTTATCAGACATCCCCACTCTCTCAGACATGCTCTGATGAAGAGGAGAGAAATGATTGAACAATATAGACCTGGAACTTGATAGAGTGAGCATTCACACTCCTTGAAGCTCTGTCATCTGTACCGGCACCTTACCTGTGCTTCTCCTGGCATCCTTGTTTTAGAAAGTGTGGAAAGCTTCTGTTTATTGTCTGTCTTCACATGTCATCCACAGTCATTTAATGATGATAAAAACAGGAGGAGACATTGCAAGGTGAAATGTTATAAATAAAACCACTGAGGTCAAGGTTGACTGGTCCAGTAGGTAGGCAAGTTCCTGTGACTCAATCTAGGCAGATGACAGGATCTCACTCCTGAGCTGGTAAGCCTAAACTCACCTGAGAAAAACCAGGCTCTGAAAAATCCAACAGCAAGTGCCAGGTGTATCTTTATTTTCCACAAATGATAAAAAGCAAATCTCACCATTAGCTTCTTGGAGTCAGCAGTTTTGAATTCTCTCACAAAAATCCTGAATTTGTGACAGAATTTGATGAGCAAAGGCTAGCATGCCAGAGGAAAAGGAAAGATACAGCTTTAATCCGCAGAAAGTCGGAAAGAAGAAATCCTTGCTTAGAGGCGGGCAGTTTCAATCTTCTGTCTTTTGGGACATCCAGCTGACTGGCTGAGGCCCATCCACATTCCAGAGGACAATTTGGTTCAGTTGGAGTCCATTGTGTTAAACACTAACATCATCCCTAATATACGTGCTCACGGGAAGAGTCCAAACTAATGTTTGGCCACGCCTCTGAGAACCATGGTCCAAATAGGTAGACATATAAGATGAGCTGAAATAGATTGAATCCTTCTGTATACCAAGACATGAAGGGGCCCTACAACAGAAAACACGAGGAAGGTGACATAAACATTTGCATGTGTGAATGACTGAGAATGTACTTTAGACTGCCTCTTATACTATCAGAACCCACCTTGCAAAATACCAGTAATCTCATGTCTTTTTCACCTTTTGTCCTCTGACACCTCTATGTGTGTGTTATTACAACATTTCATTTCACAGGTAGAGGTGTTAGTGAACAGCCACGCCATAAATGCTGTAAAGTAGCTAGCAAATTCATAAATAGGCAACTAGTTTTCCTGCTGCCAGTTAATAGCCTTTTCTGGGTAAATGCCTTATTTACTAACTTGCATATATAGTGTATGCAAAATTTAATTGGAATATATTACATACCTTAGCTAACTTCTCATATCTGAGAGTAACACAAGTGTGCTTTAAGTGAGGGGCTTCATACAGTTCTAGGCATTAGAACTTCTGCTCAACTATATTGACTAAGTTCACTGAACCTGGGGGGAAACCACGGGCAGAACTGGCTGTGGGTATGATTGGAATCAGAGACTTGAGCACCATCTGAGCTCTTTGGAGATCTCCATCTGGATTGTTTTCTCTGCTTCTCTTGTCCTGACTTTCTCCACATGATGTCAGCCCAGGCCACAGTCTGTTCTCTAATTGAGATAAGCAGAAGGAAAGAGAGATATTTCCATACCAGTCTGGTTAGGAAATCCCAGAGATTGAATTTCACATGAGAAGACAAGCAAGCTTCTTACACTTTTAGTTTCTATTTTGAAATCCCTGTGTGGGCTTACTTGGGCTGACATAATAAAATTCATAGAGGAGATATTTATAAACACTAGTTTATGGCTCAGCGCTCAGGAAGTTGGAAAGTCCAAGAACTAAGCAGCAAGATTTGTTTGTTGTCTGATATATGTTCAAAGATAACACCCCCTAGCTGGAGCCTCATGTGGTGTGAAGCTTAAGGAAGCTCCATCAAGTATCCCATTATAAATGTGTGAAGCCCCTATGGCCTAATCACATTCCTTAGGATCTACCTTCAAATACCTTCTCAAGGATTATGATTTCGACATATGAATTTTGCAGGACACAAACCATTCAGTCCACAGCAATTGTTCCTGGCAAATGAGAGAAATTCTTAATCAGTTCTCCTCTAAAACATGAAGGGAAAACAAATACATATTTATAGTGGAAATCAAATCGTTTTATTAATAAACTACCCAATATCCATTTGCATAGCACTATATATAAAAATGTGTCTAGGCTCTTGGAGAAGGAAAAAAAAACATGTTAATCAAATTGAAGCACCTCAGTGAAGTTCTTGAGTTTTCTGGTTCTGGGTTCATAAATATGATTTTCTCTCATCTGAAGATACTAAAACTTAAAGAAGTTTATTTTTTTCTCTGTCTTCCTACTTTCCTCTAGCTTTATCCCTTCCCACCAGCCAATATTTTAACAGATTTTCTTTCTGAATAAAATACAAAACTTTTCCCATCACCAACAATCTTCAGTGCTTGGCTGCTAAAATAAGATCTTCAAATAAACCTGACACATAAAATTTTATTTTTCATGACTGTTTTCATTATAGTATGAAAGTAAGCTAAGAGCCAGCACCCAAGCTCCTGTAAGACTGACTTAAACCCCATCTCTTGGAGATTCATAATGAATGAATTTTGCATGATATACATATATGTGTATGTGTTTATAAATGCAGAGGTCAAATATAATTTATAGCTCATTTTTACTATTAACATACCACAATTGTATTTTTTCTAGCAGTTTTTTCTTCATTATTTTTAACATGATGTAGAAGCTTATTGTCAAAAATGTTACCTCTCTTGTTGTAGAAGCGATGTTTACAAAAGCTGGATGATTCTTATTAAAGAACTTAAATGATTAAATGAAGGCTAAAATAATGAAAATTTCAGGACTCAGAGTCATATTATTTTCCATATGAAAAATAAATATGATAACAGCAAACACATATAATACATAAATGACAGTCCATCACTTGCCTAACTTAAAAAGCAACTTCGGTTGTCACTAAGTAGTTTTCAATTAATCAAGTGCAAATATGGCTAACATTAGTGTATTTAGGCCTTTCTTACCTTTCAATATAAATTGAATCTCTTTGTGCTCCAGGTCTTGTGCTCATCACCCTTTTCTGTCATGATCCTTACAGCAATTTTAATCCTATACTGTCATGTGTGGTTGTACAGTTTGTTTCACACTGGGGGGCAAATCCCAGTGGAGAGCAAGGCATGTTTAGATTGCTTACTTCTTTTCCCTAATGCTTATCACTACACCCAGCATATAGTAAGGTTGAATAAAAGTTGGTTGAAAGAGTGAATGGATGTAGTGGAAGAGCAAAGTCAGGCATGCCATTCAGCTCTCCCATCAATGGGGAATATAAAGTACATGTGATGATCATATACTAATAAGATACTGGGACATCAAGAATCCCAATGATAAATGAAGTCATTGCAGTCACTGTTATTTGCAAGTGGTATCCAGTGAAAATGCCAGTATTGTGACATGAATAGTCCAATTTGAGATAGAAAATGTTGGAAAATTTTTGGGGTGTTTTGGATCAGTCCATTGGAAACCAAATCAGGGACTGGCATTATGGTACAGGAGATTTGAGCTACTACTTCAGACTGCATTCAGAATCAGTCCAGGCTGCTCTGTTCTGATCCAGCTCCCAGCTCATGTGTTTGAGAATGCGGTATAAGACGGACCAAGTGCTTGGATCCCTACTGCCCTTGGACACACAGACAGAGCTCTAGAATCCTTGCTTCAGCATGACCCAGCCCCAGGTGCTGTAACAATTTAGGAAATGAACCAGTACATGAAAGATCTCTGTCTCTCGTTTCTTTGTCACACCATCTTTCAAATAAATAAAATAACTGAAAGGAAAGAAGGGATGGAAATCAAAACAGCAAATTCCTTCACTTCTTTGCTCTCCTCAGTATTCAATTCTATTTCTACAGCAAAGGCAGGCCACATTTCATCTTCCTCCCAGTGGTCACTTACCCATCCTGTTCTAGAGCCAAACTCTTTAAATGTTTCTTAGAGTTGTCATTCCCCAGCTTAGTACTCTCAGTCCCTAAATTATATCAGTCAGCAATTTCCCCACCTATATCAACTCTTCTGTTAATAATCTAGCCATATTTTGAGGGAATTCTACCTCTATTTTACATGCATGTAATAATCGATAATACCGCCATATGGATACCAGTCAGGCTGAATCAAATAGTCTTTGGGTTCCCTTTGCTAATATATTATAGAGATATACTTTTAAGAAATCCTGTGGATGAAAATGGAATTTTATCCTAACATTTTATTTTATTATTTTATTTTGGTGTAGTCTGTCTATGGTTTACAAAATGATATTAGAAGTCACAGTCCTACTCACACTGCCACACCAGAAACCAAACCTCCGACAGAAGATGAGTTACAGCAGCAGGTGAGTTGACCCGTTAAGTTATTTGTTAAAAGTTTACAGTGCAACAACTATGAAGAAAGATGGTGAATCTCAGTAGCAATTAACTTTAAAAATTATTTGTGTGGCCAGTTGTTTCATATGGAAAATTTGTAATTGTGAGCACCTGGTAAGATGGGTGGGAGGTATTTAGAAGGGTTCCTGGGTGAAGCTCATTGTCTTTGCATTTTGGGTTACGTTGCAGGCAAAGTACTTTCCAGGGCACTAAGTATCCTGCTGGCTTTTCAAGTAACCATCTATACCAGTTTCAGACCTAGTGTTCCAACAAATGCTTGTAAGGAGTTGATAAAATGATAGCATTAGGTAGTGGGATTTATTTTTAAAATTATAATAGCAAATAAAAAAACATTTTCTTTTCTGCATTACATGTTTGTAGGGGAAATGTGATTGTTGATTTTGCTGTTTACCATGAAACACCCATTTGAATTTGCCATAAAATTTTCAAAATAAAGTGACAATTTTGTTAAAATAGGCAGCACATTCAAAGTCATTGCAATTCTAAAATATTTGTCACGGTTACATTTAAATAGTTTTTGGATTTTTATTAACTTTTCAGAGCCTTCGCCTTTAAATTTTGCTGACCTTAAGATTCTGTTGAGTTAGACTACAGTTTTGTTCTCAATTACCTATTCTACCAGAATTCAAAATTCTGTTACCCATTGAAATATCGGTTGAAAACTCTGAAAATGTCATTACTTAGAGAACTAATTGTTTAACCCCTTTTTTCAGATAAAATATTGGCAAATACAGTTAGATAGACATCGGTTAAAAATGTCAAAAGTTGCTGATAGGTAAGTATGTTAAGGTGTTCTATAAATTTATTTCATATTATAAATATAATATGGTAAGAAAACTTGGGAAAGGAGCGGAGATGAATCATTGGAACTATTTAAGAAATGTTACTTTCTTTTACTCTTTTTTGCACATAGAAAATTTCTTTAAAATTTCTTTTTATGCACTGAAAGAGACCAGATGATTTTTACTCTGCTCCATCCCCAGAGGTTAGATGCTTAGGTAGTGGAGAATCAGATTCAGAGAACAATTCTAAGGCGTTGAATATTTTCCCTCCCACTGGAAGAAATGAAAGCTTTGACTTACTAGTTCCTTTTTTGGCAATTTTGACCCTCTCTTTAAATTTGTCTTAACATTGGCAATCCACATTCTATTGTTGCATGACTTCAGAATTCGAATTAAATTCAGATTTTGATTATTTGCCTTTCCTTCATTTAAATCTAATCTTTGTGGCAGCCATACTCTTTACTTTTGGTCATTGCCAACCACTACCTCTTCAACTTCCTTTTGTTTTAAAATAAAGTTCTTTAAGTATCATTTTTTCATGATTATCCTGTTACTTAATCTTCTGACAAAATTCCTTTTTATTCCTTTGTCCAAGTGAGCTTAAATCATTCAGCTAGCAGTGGATTGGAAGCTTATCCTTAGAACTGCCCTGCACTCACTGACTCTTCCGTGTGGCTTCACCTAAGTGGAGGGTATGGGTAGATATGGCATAATACACAGAGAGAGATGAAATCCTTAGAAGCACAATAGAGTGTTGCATATAAGTTCTTGAAATGTGTTTTTTTAAGTGTCATTCTATAAGTGAGCCAGAATTTCATGGCCAAATATTTTTATGTTTCCCTTCACTTTAAAATGGATATAAGCTCAACCAAAAGACTAAGGGAAATGACATGTTTTATTTTTCCTTCCTAGTTTACTAAGTTACACAGAGCAGTATTTAGAATATGACCCATTTCTTGTGCCACCTGACCCTTCTAACCCATGGCTGTCTGATGACACTACTTTCTGGGAACTTGAAGCAAGGTAAGAAATACTTCTATCATTTATTTGAAGATCTAAATTAAATAGGAAGAACCTTGTAACTAATTAATAATAAAGGTGATTTTACCCTATCTTCACTATTATATAATATATAATATACTGCTCTTGATCCTGTAATTGTTCTTGAAGTTCAGACACTTGGATTTGCCTTACAATTTGCATTGCAGAGGGACAGTCCCAAAATCACAGATAAAAAGCTTCCATATGAACTAATTACTCAGCACTGGGATGGTTGGTTCTTGAAATGTAGCTCTTTGCTGTTATCTTCCTAGATAACCCACATGGCCACATGCATCCCATTAACATGAAAATTTAATCCCATACTTTAAAATGAATTTGTAGATTTGATTTTAGAACAAATTAAATTTACTATAAACACTCTAAGCAAAACTAACAAGACACAGGCTTCTTAAAAACAAAGCACAACTGAAGCCTGCTGACTTCTCGCATGAGTCGTAGGCAAGGGAAGCATTACAGCAGTGTTCATAGAGTCATAGAAAGAGCATTCATGTCACTTCTCAAGCAGTAAGCAGTACTCTGTAGTACTTCTGCAGATTCCATTTCTGGACCATCTCTTTATACACTCAGCTTTGTGTTTTAAACACCCGACAAATTCAAAACTGTTCATCCAGAAGTTATGGATTTTATACTTGAGGAAACTAGAACCCCAAAATGGCATGGCTCATCTAGGAAGAGAACAAATTTTTAACAACAGAGCTGTGAATTAGTATGAAGGCCTTTGGTTGTGCTAGTTGCCTAGAACAACTAATACAGCATAGTATAAGGTTTAGAAATTTGACACTGGTGTTAGAATGTCTAGAGCACTTCCCTTTATTACATTGCTGAGTATAATTCCCTTTGGTCCCTGCTTTCCTTATGTATAAAATGAGAAGAATAATAGCACTTGTCTCTTAAATTTGTTGAAAAAAGCTAAGAGATACTTGATCCAAAGTTCCTATTGTCCATTGTTCAATAAATGTTAGTTTAGGATTCACCTAATTTATGTCTTCATAAATTTTTTTTCCCTGAAAAATAAGTTATACACTTCAAGATAGATATGATTTTAAGAGAAAATGTAAATAAATAGGAATCATAACATTAAAAAAAATATTTGGCTTTGCTTTTACCTCCTACAGCAAAGAACCAAGCCAACAGAGGGTAAAACGATGGGGTTTTGGCATGGATGAAGCATTGAAAGACCCAGTGGGACGAGAACAATTCCTTAAATTTCTTGAGTCAGAATTCAGCTCAGAAAATTTAAGGTAAGACTCATTGTTTGGATCTTGTACTGCAAGCTGGAGAGACAGAATCTGTTACGTATTGCTCTGGACTTGGTAGACTATCATCAACTGGTGTTATCAACTCACTGAATTCCTGCCATCTACTGGAATGAGAAAAGGTAACCAAAATGAAGCTTATCTAACATTATCAATTCCTTATAAAATTTGTTTTTATACTGTCTCTGTAACTTGTAACAATGGCCATTGAAATCAATGCCTTCCAAAAAGAAGTCCAATGCTCAGACCAGTGTTTGTTGGAATAGGCACTGGTAAATAAAACATCACCTATTTGTCAGACTTGGCCTCCTTTACGTACTGTTTCTCAAGAGAGATAATTTGAAAATCCACCAAATCACTTGGAAAAACTCTCAGGATAATCCTCTAGTTTGCACATTAAACTAGTGAGCAGAGACATTGATTCTGCCTTTTTGTCTAAGCCACATTTTACATATTTTGAAAATTTCTAATATAGGGGACAGCTAACAATTGTTTTCTGTTTTGAGATGTAATTTGAACTTTTAAGTAGTGGTTAACACATTCAATGTAGCTTGTCCAATCCTAAGAATATAATGATATTCTCATCCTCAGTACCTCCCAAAGTCTCCCTCCCTCCTAAGCCCTTCACTCTACAAGTCCTTCTCAGTTTTCAAGATAAAGTATTTTAAATTTACATTACAGTGAAAAGGCTCAAGTCAACAAATACAGTTAACAAGTGAAAGTAAGACCCTGGTTTAGTGAGAATAGACAATGGTGATAATCAAAATTTGAGTGAAAAAATGACCATTTCAGATACTTGTAGTAACTTTTAAAGTAACCATAGATCATTAAAACTGCAACAACATTCTTAAACGTTGATTTGGCAAAGTTATAAAACAGAGTTTTAGAAAACTATATTTTCAGCAATACTAATACACATAGATATTTTTTCCTTTGTTCTTTTTTTTTTTAATTTTAGTTTCCACCTAGAAGGGAAAACATGTAATAATTTCCTTTACATATCTTGCTCATTTCATTCAATGCATTAACATTCATTTGCTGGGAAGTGATAGCATCCATTCTTTTCTAATACAGCCAAATAATATTCGATTGTATGCATGTATGCCACATTTTCTTTACATTTATCTGATTATGGACACCTCAGTTGGTTGTGTAGTTTGACTGTTGTAGACAGTGCTACCGTAAGCATGGTGATGCAGGTATCTCTCTGACACAGTGGTTTCATGCTTTGGGCTGTGCACCCCGTAGTGAAATTGCCGGGCCCTGTTACAGGTCTATTTCTAATTGTTTGTTGTTTTGTTTTAGAAATGTTCCTACTGTTTTCCACAGTGTTTGCACTAATTTACTTTTCTGCCAACCAAGTATAAGTATTCCACTTTCTCCCACATCCTCACCAGCATTTGTTACTCTCTGTGTTTTGGATTTTAGCCATTAGGAAAAGAGTGAGGTGATTCCTCATTTTTAAATATGAGACACAATAGCTGATTCTCATGGCTCTATTTGAACTAATTGAAGTGAAAGGCAGCTTTCCATTACATGAAGCTGTTTTTCCATGAACTTTCTCATTCACTTTTTTTTTAAACCTGATACCCTGAATTACTTTTCTGAGGCTTGTGCAATCCTATGACTTTCACTTATCAGAAAGTCACAGCATTCATTTATTTTTGTGGAATTAGGAATCACCAGACATCGTCACTGTCTTTTCAGGAGATTTAACAGGAACAACACCAAACTGTTCAGAAAGACACGGAACAGTGGCAGCTGCTTCATGGATGAAGCAGGGTACCTGTGGACAGACCCTCGAGGAGTTTAAGGCTCCTCAGCCAAGGGTTATTGGGACTCGTTTCCTATTCTCTTTTAAGTTGAGAAGAACTTTTCCTGAGGAAGTTCCTACAAGAGCCATAGTTGCTACCTACCTTGTGTTGTTCCTATGAAATACCATTTTCTACAATGAAACTACCGCATTATTAATGAGGTGCAAGAAGGCATTAAAAAATATCAAGAAAAAACAAAGATATTTTGAGATTTTAGTGGGTTGGGTGGTTGTGGATATTCTCCTAATTTTCTAAGTTTTTAAGAGATGCTATTATCAGGGTATGACAAAGCCAAATAAAAATTCCTCCTTCCCTCCTTAAAATTATAATCTAACAGGGAGGTATGGACAAGAAAGCAAGTCAAAAGAAAAAAAATCTGACTGCATCAAGATTAGTTGAAGGGGTGCCTTATCGGAGTTAAAGCTTAGCAAAGTGCCAGCTGAAAGCTGGTTAATGAAAAAGAGAAAACTTATGTAAAAGGAGGGAAAAAGCATTTGGATAAACAAAACAGCACACTATGTACTCTTTCTCATGACTATAGTCACTATTGAGTCCTTAGATCAAGTCTCAAACATGACTTATCTCAAAAGATCTCTTCATACTAGTGTTCTTGATAAATAATTCTATATAAGGATACATATATGTCAGTATACATATGTGTACATATTACTTAAGGATCTATGATATGTCATTAGTAATATTAAATAGATCAATGATAGAATGATAGAAATATATAAATAATTGTTAAACACAGTTTTATAATGCAAAATATTTTATAGCTACTGCTGGTGTGACACTGTACTATGTTTTGTGCTTGTTTTTTGAATAATCAGTATATCTGATCATCACAACATACATGGAATGCTCCCTCTTGTGGATAAATTGCTTGAGGAGTGTTAAGTATGTTTCAGATAGTGTGTCAGTTGCATTCTCAGTTTTCTATAAACAAGCACCAAGCTACCATACACTGCTTGACAAATCTGAGCCACACTTGACTCAGACATCATCTGTTTCACACACTGAAGGAAAAAAAAATGGTCCAGTTAATGAGCAGAGCTGTACATTACACGAAAATAATTCTTAGTTCTCTGAGGACTTACTATTGATAGGGATGTGTGTTTAGGAGCCTTTTCCTCATATATTATGACCTGGAAAAATCAAAAGGCAAAAAAAATGCTAATTATTAACTACCTAATCCTCAAAAACACCTTCTGCTCATTACTGGTGTGCTATTGTTTATTCCCCTCTCAATGGACTTTGCATACAGCAAGTGCCAAGTAAATGCAGTAACATTATGAGTTTCATCAGTCATTTGTCAGCTTTTCACTGACAAGTGAATAACTTCTCTCTTTTAAATATGTGTTTATTTTTATTGGAAAGCCAGATTTACAGAGAGAAGGAGAGACAGAGAGAAAGATCTTCCATCTAATGGTTTACTCCCCAAATGGCTGCAGTGACTGGAGTTGAGCCACCCCAAAGTAAGGAGCCAAGAGCCTCTTCCAGGACTGCCACAGGGGTGCAGAGTCCAAAAGTGTTAGGCCAATTTCTGCTGCTTCCCCAGGCTGTAAGTAGGGAGCTGGAAAGGAAATGGAACAGCTGGGTCATGAACCGGTGCCCATATGGGATGCCAGCATTTGCAGTGGAGGGTTAGCCTATTAAGCTATTGCAGCAGCCCTAAAATTCATCATTTAAACAAGTGGTACTCTAGTAAGATACTCACTTTCATTCCACTCTTCCAGTGAGAAAATTGAGACTCAGAGACATTGAAATTCCAGGTAACAGAAGATAAAGAAAGTGAGATTGCTTTTTGCAAATTTATTTATATTTATTTAAAAGGTAGATTTACATAGAGAGGCAAGAGAGGGAGAAAGAGAAAGAGAGAGAGATATCTTCCATCTGCTGGCTCACTCCCAAATGGCTTCAATTGCTGGAGCTGGGCAAATCTGAAGCCAGGATGTGTGGAGCTTCTTCTGGCTAGACCAGTTGGGTGCAGGAACCCAGACTTGGGTGATCTCCTGCTGTTTTTGTAGGCACATTAGCAGAAAGATAAACCAGAAATGGAGCAGGCTGGACTCAAACCAGGTCTTACATGGGATGCCTGCACCACAGGCACATAGACGTTTAATCCATTATGCCACAATGCCAGCCCAGGGAGAATTCTTTTAAAGGTCTGTTTATTTGCTTTGAGGGTTACAGTTACAGAGAGAAAGGGAACAACCAAAATATCCATCTTCTGGCTTACTCCCCAAGTGCCCTTGATTGCTACCACTGAAACAGGCTGAAACCAGGAGCCAGGAGCCAGGAACCTCATTTAGCCCTCCCATGTACATGGCAGGACCATCTTCCACTTCTTTTCCGGCCATTAAGAGGGAGATGGAAAGCAAGAGTTGTTGTGAGACCAACCAGCAGTCATATGGAATACCAGGGTGACAAACAGGCAGATGATATTTTAAACTATCATTTTCCCATTGTGTTTCATTATTACAAAGATTGCAATAATGATGAGGGTAAAATGAGCAATTCTGCTGTCAGGAAATGACTGTGAGTGTGTCATATGTTGCAGATTATCTAAGGACAAACTCCAGCTGTGAAACTAGTAGCATGAAACCTTAAATAAGCCACTCCTTTCGTTCTGTAACTTATTTCATTTGTATAAAGTGAGTAAGTTTCAAGTATTTACAATACAGATTTAGGGGCGTAGGGATACTTTCCACCCTACCCTCTCTTCCACATTTCCCATCCATTTTCCTCCCTTCTTTCTTTTTTTAATATTTGCAATTTCATACTTAATTTCTCAATTATGGGCTTAACACTCCTAAGTAAAGATTTCAACATACAGAAAGTAGGAAATAACTCTTTAAAAATATAGACAAAGGCTGTAAATAATAAATCTCAAAATATTAATCTCACTTATACGTTGAGTACCCCGTGTATTAGCTGCCACTTCTGCATAAAAGTTGCTTCTTCATGTACTAATTCGTCTTTTCTAATACAAGGGAAACCGTAGCACCTACTTTACAGGGTTGTTGTGGAGATTACATGAATTAAAAGAAGCCAATAATTCATGACAGTACCTCTCAGGGGTCTTCTGTCCAGCAGGCTCCGAAACCACGTAAAGGTGAGGAGCTAGTGTTCTGCAGCAGAAGCACTGGAAACAAACCGGTGGTGAAGAATGTCCATTTATTTTAGAGAAGTTTATATAGGAGAAGGGGGCAGGCAGAAAGGCGGTCCTGACAGTACAACAACATTGTGACTGGCTAACAGATCTGTCTATCTCTCTGGACCATCCAATGTAGTTAAAGGTCAGGAAGCACAGGAAATTGTATCTCTGGGCAGACTTACTACCTGCTGAAAAGCAGGATGAATGTAACATGTGAGTTCCTTGAGTTGTTTACAGAGGAAGTCTTAGAAGAGTAGGGAAGCGAAACTGGGGTGCAGCCCTTCACTCTTGTTGCATGCCCAGTGAACAGGCCATGTTGAGGTCTGTTAGCCAAGGGCACAGTGTGTAATGTGCCCATGGCCTCCCATGTGGGCTAGGCAGCCAGAGATCCAGGCGTGATCTCCCGCAAGTACCTACACACAAATTTCTTTGCAGATATTATTAATGACTCATCAGTCACATCTCATTCTTATCTCCAGATGCATTGCACACATCACTGCATCTACCATGGCTTTCCTTGACCCCTCTTCCCTGCCCTGTGGAGAGGCTCTTTTATGCTCTGCCTTCCAGACTTTGCTGTTTTTCTCTTCCTTGAAAGACTCCATGTGCTTCTTAGCTTTGGGCCATTTGATGGGTTCACCTTTTTCTCCACTATTTGTTTAGGAACAGGGACTTTCTTTTGATTGATATGTTCAAAGTAAACTGGCATGGACATGAGTATTAATTATAAAACTCATGCACCATTCAGCTGCACATGGTATTTCCATTAAAAACACAATACTTAAAGCTCTATTTCAGGAGAGAGTAGTGTGAGTTTCTTCTATCAGAAAAATAATGTAGTTTCATTTTAAGGCATTGTCCAAGTTACTTATATAGGACAATGAAATCTGGACATGGAAATTTTAAAAATCACCATATACGGTATTAGTTAAAGGTATAATACAAACCCAAGTACTTTGGTAGCTATTTCAAGCCTTTCATTAAGGCACCAAGGTAAAACTCAGTAATTTGAAGGTCCTGCTTATCACCCTGAGCCTCTGTTTAAGATCATTTAGTCCATGTTTCTTCCCTTTTTACCTCTATCTCTGTTACCATCTTCTCCATATCTCTGTGATAATGGTGCCTTGCAATCATTTCTCAAATCAGGATTCCCCTCTCCAGGAACAAATCTGTATGATATACACATTTATCTTTTGAAAAATTCATCTGTATCTAGATGAATGATATACACATTCATCTAGATACGAATATGTCTATATAAACAAAAAAAAAATGTAACCTACATCAATCTTAAAGAAATGAGACTCTTATGTGACACATTCTTACTAGACTTTTTCATTACCAGATACTCCATTTTTCCCAACACATATATTCATATTTTAATGTTATTATCTATATATAATGTTCAAAAGTAATTGCTATGGTATCTCTGCAAAGTTGTACGTGAAAGCAGTAATTGCCCTGATTTCTTGCTAGGGTGATTTCCTTTTGCTCAGGCCTTTTTTGACCCCAGGAAAGTTTTGCAGTTTTTTCTTGCTGGCAGAGCAGTTTCCTATTGCCCTCATTATTTGCATGAACAAAAGATCCAAAGAATACAGCAGAATGAGCTACTTTAGCTTATCAACTGGGTGTTTTCTGCCCCACACCCTTGTTGCTACCATTGCCCTGTTCGTTTCTAATATATGACTGTTTAGTAGCTACTTTTGAGGCAGCAAAATTGACATTGGATAGGGTTAGGGCTCTGCTGGTGCTTTTTCAAGTTTTTTAAAAGGGTCATTTATTTGTTTGAAAATTAGAGTAAAACAGAAAGAAGGAGAACTAGAGAGAGAAGAGAGTATTCAACTTCTGGCTCACCCCTTAAATGGCCTCAGCAAATGGGTCTGGGCCAAACTGAAACGAGGCGCCAGGAACTCTTTCCAGTCAGGCACTCCTAACACATGGCTGGCAGAGGCCCAAGTACTTGGGTCATCTTCTGTTGCCTTCCTGGGTGCATTAACAGGGAACAGGATCAGAGCAGAGCAGCTGGGACTTGAACCAGCTCAGTGTTAGGCAATGCTAGCATCAGAGACGATGTCTTAACTCCAAGCAGATATGCTTTAAACAAACAAAAAAGAAATTGTTTTCCATATTTCCTTGCAATGCATTTTACACTGTACACACAACATACAGAGGGAAGTCAAGCCAGGCCCAATATTGGAAACCTCCATGTGAAATTTTGATTTATGTATCATGAAAAACTGCATGATAGGGATACACATGTATTGATAAGATTATTCAGATTGTGAACTATCTGAGTAAATATTGGCATCTGTTTTCCATAGATTCTGGCTAGCAGTGGAAGATCTGAAGAAAAGGCCCATTAGAGAAGTGCCCTCACGAGTTCAGGAAATATGGCAAGAATTTCTAGCTCCAGGAGCTCCCAGTGCCATTAACTTGGATTCTAAGAGTTACGACAAAACCACACAGAACGTGAAGGAACCTGGACGATATACGTTTGAAGATGCTCAGGTTGGTACAGGTTGGGCTTCCTGTTTAAAAAAAAGAAAACAAAGTGCCATTGATAAGTTCATGAAAAACTTTATTCAATCTAAATGCAATTATTTGTGGCATTGCCAATTTCGAAAGCTGTAAAGCCGCCTAAATGATCTATAAAAGGACAAAAGTGTTTTAAAGTGAAAAGTTTTTTAAACTGAAATGTCTTCTAAATTTCAGTATTTTTACATGACAATTTTACATTTTCAAACTTTCAAATGACAGTTTTAGGATTTTGACATAATGATTTCTATTTTCTACTCTTTGGTCATCCAGTGTCTGATCAAACTTTCTAATAATGACCCTACACAGAGCACACATTTAAAATCTTTAAGTTACCTTTAATGTGGAAATATGCAATTCTGCCATTGCTGAATTAGTACATACTCATACATATTGGTAGAAATGAATTGGCTTAAGTTATGTCAAACACAAATCAGTTTTATGGCAAAAAAATAAGAGATTCAGATATTTAGTCATTTTCAGGGTCATTTTTAGGAGCATGTAGAGAGAAACCAATTAAAATGATTTTAATTTATAAGATAAAACCTTGTTATTTTCTCAATCTGGATCTTAGTTCCGTTTTAAAAATAATGGAGTTTCTATTTTTTTTTTAAATATTGGTGACAAACAAGAAAAATAACTATGATAGGTAATATTACTTTCAAATGGTGTGTTGAATTTGGCTTGTAATTGAGAAGCACCCTGATTTCTTAAATCCCCTTTTTTTAAAGTCAGGAACAGTAACTCTAAAATGCGTTTTGTTTTAAAAACAGCATTAGAAAAATAACATATGGAAAATGAAAAACAAAATATACGAATCCCTTTTCCAATTATAGTAGAAAAGACCAATTCAAATTGAGCAGATCATATGTTTTCTGTGCCTTTTTTTCAGCTTTTCTTTATTTTTTTAACATTTCTTGTTTTTTATGATACAGTTTCTTAGGCTCAGGGATTTTGCCTTTATTCCTCCTCCAGTCCTTCCCTCTTCCCGCAACATTTTTCCTCTATATTGTCACAGTAGTTTAGTTCCTCAACAACAGTCACAAGTTCATCACTCTACTACTTAAGTATATCCTAATTTGTAGGTATTTTGTCTCTGATCTAAGACAACCTCCATGAAAAATACAACATCAGTGGCTGGCATGGTGGCCTAGTGGCTGGGGTCCTCACCTCGCACAGATTGGCATCCGATACAGACGCTGGTTCTAATCTCAGGAGCCTGGCTTCCCTCCCAGCACCCTGCTTGTGACCTGGGAAAGCAGTCAAGGATGGCCCAAGGCCTTGGGACCATGCACCCGTGTTGGAGATCTGAAGGGTCTCAGGGCTCCTGGTTTTGGATCGGTTCAGCTCCAGCCATTGCAGCTGCTTGGGGAGTGAATTATTGGACAGAAGATCTTCCTCTCTTTCTCTCCTCCTCTCTATATATCTGACTTTCCAATAAAAAAATGAAATAAATCTTAAAGAAAACAAGATCAGTAGATAATAGGTAAACATGTGTGTGTATATATATATATATATATATATATATATATGACTTTTGATAGATGAACTATATAATGGCGTCTGGCATACTGAGAAGAGAAGCTATGTTGCAGCATGCAACTCTGCTCGCAAATAAGAGGACTCACAACGAAACTGTTAAATATACCTTGATGATAGAACACTAGATTCTCTCCCATTGTCTATGCCTGTAATGCCATGATACACTTAAATAGTGGAATGTTGGACTTGTGCCTATTGATGAAGGATTTTATTATTGTAATAATATTGGAGAAAATAGTGAGAGAGAATCAGTGGCGGGGGCATTGGAGGGAGAGAATCCTTGTGCTATGGAGCAATACTAGAAACAATTTCAAAAAGAGAAAAGAGATTTGGCTTCAGTTTAAAGAAGTGAACCACTGTGAAGAAAACTAGCCCCAAGTTTTAGCAGCTAGCCAGGTGCCTAATTCCCTGGGATTCAATTATGGTCTGCTATGTAGAAATAATTGAATTTTCAGAGACACGTGATGGAGAACAGGATGAAAATTCTGGCCCTTCTGTTCAGTTCCCTTTGGTTTATCTGTCTTTGAGTTCAAGATAAATTCTCACACGTGGTTTTAGATAAATGATAGATAGATAGATAGATAGATAGATAGATAGATAGATAGATAGATAGATAGAATGTGTTAAATGTTTGCCATGCCTTGCGTGAGGTCCTAAGAACGAACATTTCTTTGTTATCTATATCACTGAAAACATTCTTGGTGAATAGGGTCCTCAACCAAATATAAAGGATTAATTTCTATGGAAAACATAACCTCCTGATCATGTATTTCTTTTTCAATTAACCTCAGTTATTTGACTCTTACTTTTTGTGGAGTTTTTAAAATTCTGCCTTCAAAGATATACTAGAAATCTGTGCCGTTGTGAGAGAAGAAATGCAATGTAATGGTTAGGAAGAAAGATTCTGGAACTGAATTGCCTGGGATCTGCCCTGTGACCCTTGCAAGTACTTCGCTTGTTTCTGCCTCGAATTCTTAATTGAAAAAATGCACATGATAATGATTAAAGAAATGAATATAAACAATCCCTTGGATGTGTACCCAGCATATCATAAAGTGTGTGTGAGCATTTACCATGCACATCTCATGCTCTGCTAGACACTTATCAGTCCTTTAGTGCTCAAAATGCTGCTAGTTCATAGATTCAAAAACTAAGGAAAGGAGAGATAAATAAACAAAGCTAAATCATACTGTCTGTATGTGGTAGATTTTGAGCATCATAGGATCCGAATTCCAAAGTGCTGAACTGCAAAATTCAGCAGCATTACATGTTTCAATCACACGTAGTTGCAGTTCTAAAATGTAAAACTAAACCTTGAGCTTAAAATCCAGAATGTTATTAAGTGGATCCAGAGTAACATCAACATACCTCTGATGAATTTAAGATCAGAGAAAATGAAGCAATGTCTTAAAATATCAATTTTATCTAAATCAAAAGACATTAAGTCATCCAGGATACTCACATAGCTCAAAACTACATTTAACTGCTGTGTCCCCAGATGAGGAAGACCAGGAGCTTTTAAAATCTGAGCAACGGCAGATTAAAGCAGACTTTCTTTAGAAAGAAAGATTGAATAGAATGGATAATGTTTTTCTTGAACTTCTTTTTCCTTCATCATCCATCATGAAAACAGGACATTGCAAGCTTATTAGGGGTAAATGATTAAACATTTACTCAGTCTGTCATTGAATGGGTTTTTAACAAGCACACAGATTTTAAGATTTAGCAATTAAATGTCACAGAACTTATTTTTGGACTTGTGGTCTGACGCAAAGTCGGTGGGGAAAACAATTTTCCGTATAATTTGAACCAAAGAGATGAATCATTTGGTCAGTCTGCACATTCCCAAAAACGTAGAGGCCAAGAGTATGCAGGATTATTTCTCAATTTTGATTTTACATCTCCCACTTTTGCCCTAGAGTCAGATTTATTTGTATACTCAAATGTGCTACGCAATTTAGCAATTTTAAATTATACCTGACATTTCATTTACTCCATTTCATTTTCTTCAGTGAATGGTTGTGATTTTCTTTGTCAGTAGCTACAATGCCATTTGAAACAGTGATACGTGAGTGAAGCAATGAATCTGAAAATCTAAACTTTTCATAAACATAAGGTATTCTCAGCAACATCATCATTACTATTTTTGCTTCTACTGGACTTATTCTCTGACCATACATGGTACGTCCTTATTGTGTCTTTCATTTTCCTAAGAATAATAAAGAAGGTACTCCATCACTATTTCTTTTTAGGAGCACATTTACAAACTGATGAAAAGTGATTCGTACCCCCGTTTCATACGATCCAGTGCCTACCAGGAACTTCTACAGGCAAAGAAAAAGGTATTGGTATTTTGTGACCTTTTTGAGATAACACTGATTTATATAGTTACCTGGTGTCATTACTTCTGCTGGGCCCAGGGTATTGGACACATGGTAAGTAAGCATACTCCATGAGCCTCCCTAAAGCCTTTGCATTTTATAAGGGTCATTAACTTGGCTTTGTTTTGATTTGCTGATCACTTATTGTATTTTGTGTTTTTGTGCTTTACAAATTTTATTAGAACATTTTCTTGTGTTTCTTGTTACTTCTTCTGCATGCCTTGAATGTCATTACATCAGAAACCTGACAAAGGCTCCTTTTTGTCTACTTGCTGGAGTGTACGTTTTGCACCACCAGCTTCATAAGTAAATATTGACTGATTTTCCAGTGTGATTACTGAAGTATAATATTAAATACTTCTGAATATTTTTGTTTATCCAAATCACTTAGTATTCCTATAACAGTAATCAAGCATTCTTTCTAAGATTTGTAAAAGACATCATTATTTAAGTCATGTTTATTATAAAAATGTCTTTATCTGCAAGCTTTTAAAGAATGAATGTAATGGAATATTGAAAATCTGGGCATAAAAATGAACATCAATAATTATTTCTCATGATAAAATAGTTCATAGCAACTTGAAACTCTGAGATTAAGTTAGAATTTGTGTAACTCATTTTTATCAGTTAAAAAGTATTTGCAAGTAGAAATACTCTGCAATGATGGTGGTATAATAACTACTAGCCATTATTTTACTTGTCATTAATCGACATTGTGTAAAATCTGGCCAAATTTCAAGTGCCCATTAACCACATGTACAGGCTTCCGTATTAGACAGTATAAAATGATATTTTCTTCCTTTCAGGAAGTGCAGTTTATCCACAGAAATGTATCCCTGTTAGAAAATTATGAGGCAATTCTGAAAATATGGCACCAGAGCTCAAATATTTAGGCTTTCAAATGTCAACATAAAGCTTCGCCTACCTACCCCATTTCTGCTTGGTTTGAGTTTGCTTCAGATCACACTTGCTTGCACAAGAAAATCTTGGGTGTCAAAACTCAAAGTACTCATGACGCCAGAGCCCGTGTCTTGTGGCACCATGCCATTCTTGGCAGCTCTGCTACCTTCATGGGCCCCATGATTTAAATCAGGGGTTTGATGTTGTATCATTTCATCATCCTGTCTTTCTCTGTCATTTTCCTTGCTTTTCTTTCTTTTATTTTTAAATGTTCCCTTATTTTCCTTCACCCTATCCCATCCCACATATGTAAGTCTGGAAACTCAATGGATCGAAGAACATCTTTTGAGAAATTTGCACAAAATGTGGTAAGTTTTTTTTCTTAGGAATTACAAATCATTAAGTCCAATGAGATTTCATGTACCCCCACTTCCAGACCCACTAATTCATCTTGCAATCTTTGATATAACAACAAATGTATTGCCCGTATTCAAATTCAGAACTTGATGCTCCTTAACTTTGTCTCAGCCCTCAATGTAGTAAAGATGACATGTATGAATAACTTTGTGTATCAAGTTAAATGTCTATTATGGTGCATAAAGTGAAGAGAGACAGTTATACTTTATATTTGTGTTTTTAGCCTATGTATCATTTTCTTTATTAAAGATAGTGCATGTATTTCTATGTTCTTTCCCTCAGCTCTCCATTAGGCTTAAAAGATTAAGAACAATGAGGATTCTGGGCTTTCTGCATCCACAAGGACAAAATTATCTATGGAGCAGTTTGAAATCAACCACTTACTATAAATGGTGGTCACATAATGCTCCATCAAAAACCCAGTAGCATGTCTCTCTTGTTCTGGTATTGAAAATTGTTATATAAAATAATCCTGGAAACCTATGGTTTTCCTACCGGTGCTTTCTTAGTACTTTGACATGTATTTTGATGATATATATGTATATATTTATTTATTTGTTTGTGGGGTTCTTTTTTTATTTTTTGTATTGTGCCAGTACCTTTGGAACTTTTTGACATTGTGTAAGCTCAAACTAAAGCCTTCAACACATTTATTTTTATAGGGCAGAAACATCCCTATTTTCCCATGCCATAAAAACTGTACACCAACACTGAGGGCCAGCACTAACCTGTTATGAAAAGAGGTAGAAAAATCTTGGTTTATACTCAAGTTTGTCTGCATTGTCTGTTGAGTTGTGTGATTAGCTCCATGCTACTACGTGTGTGTATGTTGTGGCTTTTGCCGTAATGGTCAGTTATATGGAGTTATATGTGTTGAAATCAAAGCAAACTGGATTAAAAAAAATATGGGTTTATTTTTCAGTGTCTTTCCAGAATCTTTGTAGTAGAGACATTCATCAATTCTATTTTTGAATTGCCATTGAGACTGTATAAAGAATGTTGAAAAGATTTTAAGCAACAATGCATATTTTGAACATTCAATGTGATTGCATAAATGTAAAGCATTGATAATGAGGGACGCCAAGACTTAATCAACTTTAACCCTCACATGTTGAATTGTCATGTGAGAATCTTAGTCTTTTAAAGGATAGAATTTTATTAAACATGCCTCATAAGCTAATCATTGAAAGTCAAAAAAGTAAAAGAAATTGCCCTAAATTTTGCCAGAGGAGGTGACTGAGTATCGCAGGGTTTCTGTGTATTGTTTAAGAATTGTCTCAAATTAATTATTTTCTAAGGTAATGATACTGAAGTGTTGCTCTTGAGATTAGTAAGGAAATTTTATTGAAATAACTGAAAACACTTAGAGTAATACAACTGGATAAAGAAAAAAACCCCTGTCTTTTCTCAAGCACTAGCCTTATAAATATATATGACCCACACCCCAACTCTTAAAATAGTACCACCTTGTCGCAAAGTGCAGATACCAATACCAATACACAGTAAATTCCAATGTTCCAGAGCACTAGAGAATAAAACATAACCCTCAAAAACTTATACTTCAAAATAACTATAAATGGAAAGTCTAAAGTTTCCCAACATGTTGAAATAAAAATTACCTGAGAAGATGGAAATGCTAATAACCCTGATTAGATCATGATATGTGGTATACATTTATTAGCTAATATTATACATCATAGCTTTTTAGAAATGTTGTATGTTAATTTTTAAAATATGAACAAATAACCAAGAAGAAACCAAGGGCCAATGATTATCTCAAACATCCTGCTAAGTTTTGGGATGGTGAAAATGATACATTTCTTGATTATAAAATTAATTTGTGGTATAAATAAAATATTATGATACAGGGGTAAGGTAAACTGTTGCTGATTGGTGTTGGAGTGGGAAGAAAGCTCTATTTGCAATCTGAGAATTTCAAGAAGGTACATTTAACTGGATGAAAGAATTTCCTTAAGTCCAAGAAGGGCAACCATCCTCTTAAAGAAAATGGGGGGTAATAAGCCATAATTACTAAAGAAATAGAAGTTAAGAAAATTTTGCAGATAAATACTCAAACACATATATGTGAAATATCGCAGTAATTTTCAGATGAGCTTCGAACACATTGGTTACATTTAACCCTTTCCATCCAGAAAAATTAAAATGACATTTTTCATTGCATATGTTGTGTGGTGTTGCTTTGCAGAAATGGAGATTAGGAAGAATCTCTGAATTTCTTCTTCCAAAGTGCTTTATTATCAGGACTTGTAGGGCTCGTAGTTGTGTCAGGCATCCTATAACTTTGTAAATTCAGTTCTATAGGAAACCTTTATAGGACACACTAAAGGGATGTAAAAACCAGGCAAAGAATGAATGATCTTATTATCATCTGATAGCTATAATGGTGGGAAAATGGCATTCTCATAAACATTTTAAAGAAGTTTTAGATGCAGGTTTTTCTGTTAGCTATGGGAAGGTGGCGAGATAGACAATATTTTTAAAAAAAGAAACGGGGTAAGAAAGACATGAGTCAGCCAATAGAAACCACAAAAGCAGCTAGGAGGACTGAGATCATGACGGCACATATTCATTCATTGAATACACAGGCTAAAACTGTTGTGATCCTCACAAATTGGGTATTACAATACCCCTTATTTTTACTCATTTTAATAGTGTTAAAATGGAAGCAGAAAAATATTGATTTCCCAAGATGACATATTAAAAGACATGTTATCAACAACATTTACCTTATTCTTAAATTCTCTGTCTTTCCGCTAATCCCCATCCTCAACGTAGCTTTCGTGGATAGAATATAAATAAATAAACCTTGTCACCTGATGAGATACTCTTGTCCAATCAGAGTCCACTTTCAGGTTATTCCTATTTTAAGAAGTTTACATGTTTCAACAGAACATTTTTATAAACTGAATAATAAAAATGGCACTACTATTTTTGTTTCACTCTAGTGTCAAAAAACATAATGTCAGCCAGTTTTTCCACCACCCCTGAACTTGCTTAGGTCACCCAGATGAATAAGCCCTTGCCAACATTGTAGAGACTATACAATCAGCTAAGAGTTACATAACATTTTTAACCTTTCAAGGCCCTCTGTTCCTTTGTGTTTGCTTTGCTGTTTACTGGTACAACCGTACTGGAAGATAGGCAGGTATTGCTTAACTGTCACAGATGAGCAAATCAAGAAGAAAGAATTGAAGTCATTTTAACAGTATCATTCAGTTATTAAGTGATCAAGCAGGAGAGGAAGTAAAATCTTCTTGCTTTAAATTCATTCATCTTCATAAATTACTTTTTTCTTTTTTCATTGCACTCAAAACAAGTGAGATTAGAATAACTGACATTTGTAAATAATTTAACCTTGGCTTAAGCCTCTAGAAATTTCATTTCTTGTTATTTATTTTTAACTTCTTTGTTGTCTTGGCAATCAGGGAAATCTCCTAAGGTCCATATTCAAGATTTACTATGTTGTTTTATGACTTTAAACATTATAAAATGTTTAAACTTTATTAAATTATTATTCCAGCTCTTTGACAAAGTTAAAGTACCTTACTAATTGCAAGAATGTTTTCCTCTATGACTACCACCAAATGTGACACTATTTCTCCACCTGTCAAAATATCATAGTGCATGTCTGTCTGCCACACAAATCTTACAAAGAACAAACAGGAAAATAAGGGACAACAGCCTAGGTGGATAGATCAGCCAAGCCTTCTTTCCACTGAGGATTACAAAAATAGTGCCAACTTGATGACTCACTCTCTTTCCTTAGTCTGTGTAAAGTGAAAATTAAATCAACCTGACTTTTGCTCCAATGGGATGGAAACTAATATGTGAAAAGGTTAATGTGGAACACATGACGATTCACTGATATAACATCTTTTTGAGAAAACTTTAAGCCTATTTCAGTGAAAACAGTTATCTTCTAAGCCTTCAGAGGAATCCACAGAGAAGATCTGGCAGCCTCCTTGGCTGTTTCATCCTTCTGCCCTGTTCACTTACACTAGTACATTCAGCTCCTTAGTCGTTCACTGGAAACCACAACAAATATCCACAAGTTGTGTGGACATCCGCAGAGAATGTTAACAGAAGGACTGGGTTAGCTGTGTTATCACTTGACCAGCTCATCAATTCTGTATTTGGGTCTATAATGTTAAATTTATTATATGTATTGCTTATGGATGTGAGGTAAAATATATATGATTCCATAGCTGATTTTAAGTATGCAGGATGTAAGATGTGCAATACTGAGTTCCTTTAAACTATTCCTTTTGGTTACATTAAATTAAATGATTATCTATACTCATTTTGGAGGTCCTTCTAAAGCAACCTATCCAAATTTTATACAAATATAATAAATAGTAAATATGACAAAAGAACCTAGGCCTGAGAATGTGATGAATTTAGTTTTAGATTTATAACTTGCCCTACATTTTATTTCCATTTGAAGAACACTGAACCTCAGTATTTTTCATCCCTAGCCTAATAAAACATAGTCTTAATTACCACTTAAGCAAATATTGTACACATATAATAATAGATTATGTTTGAATACACTGTAGAAGAACGTTATTCACTTAAAATGTATTAAAAATTTTTTTGTCTTTTAGGTCATTTCATATTCTTTACCATGATTCTATTTATTTACTAATGAAACTTCTTAGAAAAAGCTTGGAATGTATTTTCTAATTCTCTATGGATGGAAATTTAGAGTTCCTTTATTTATTTATTGCTATTATAAAGCAAAGTATGATAATCATCTTTCCAGTTAAATATTACTTTTTCTTTCATATTTATAGAAATTCACTATTTGGTTAAATGGAAGGCAAAGTCATAAGAGGGTAGAAATCAGTTTTATCTGTTTTGTTTTTTGAAAGTAGAAAAATTTTAACTAATTTAACTAAGAGAAAGAGAAGTTTCAAACAATACCATCAGT